AAATTTATTTATTTAACATTAATATCAAAATTAATAGTAATTTTTATTTTTTATATTTATATATATAGAAAAAGCACGCTAAAACATAAATGAATTTGTTTAATTTGTACCTCAAAAACATAGATTAAAAATATATTACATACACTTTATTGTCATAAATTTATATTGAAAAAATAAAAATTAATTTTTAATTTATCAACTTTTCAATTAAATTTAACTAATATTAAAATTAATATTAATTTTTATATTTTTTAATAGAAATTTATAATAAATATATTTTATTTTGTGCCCGAGCGAAAAACATAACATAAATTAAAAAACTCACAGATAATGTTGACTGACTTGTTCTTATGCAAGGTATGGAGGAAAGAATGATCGTCTTTTTCCAAAGCGTATCCGGTGAAAGATTTTCGTCGATTTTAAGAGGTTTTCTAGGCATTACATAAATAAAAATGTAATCTTTCAACCACTTTTGCCGGTAAAACTTTCTTTTACCCATGCGGATGGGGGGCTATAAATCAACCTTCTTTTTCTAAGGTTAGCATTTTCCAAGAAACCCCTTTTTTGGGGCAGGGCAAATTAGCCCCTCTACTAGTAAAGTTGTGGCATATCAATCCCTCTACGTTTTTTGGCTGCAAAATACCCCCTCTAACATTTGCGAATAGCCCTTTTTCTAGCGGCTGACGTAATCAAGCCGTTTCCTCCGTTAAGTTTAAAATGTTAAATGTCAATTTTCATTCTTAAACTTTTAATTTTAAATAATTTGAATTCTTAAATTATTTTATATATTTTTTAATCCTTAATTTAAAAAAAAATGCATATTTTTTCCCTTGCATCAATTAAATCACATGTGGATGTTAACTCAATCTAAAAATGATTTTTTATGAAATGAAAATGACATCATATAATCAACTTACATGACCAAAAAACAATTATTCATGATATAAAAAAGATAATGTGGAAAATTAAGATAACTCTATTTTTAATTTTTTTTGTCCAACCAATCATAATAAGACATGTGACCTTATTTTTAATTAAAATCTCACTTTATAATTTTTTGTGCTTTTCCATGAATGGATCTCGAATCCAAGGCTCTGTCTTTAATTTTGATACAGGGTTATGTGTTTTTTTTGGAAAATCTAAACTATATATTGCATATGAGAACGAGTATTATGGAGGGATATGTACAATATGTACTAGATAACTTAATGCATTGCATTTTGTATTGCATACTGACTGGGAAGTTTTGATATATTAACCTTGGCTTAGTATATATGGACATGAATATCTCTTTTATTTAATTTAGTAATAAATTTAATTTAATTTTTTTAAATTAAATAATTAATTTTATTTCTTTATTTAAAACTTATAATATTAAATATATTTATTTATTTAATAACAAATAAAAATTAAATAAAATGTTATATAAAAAAATTATATCTATATCATTTCTTTTTAATTTATTTAGACAACATAAAGTCACCAATAATTTTTATTGAATTTGAAAATAATGACATGATATTTACTTTAAAAATAACTAAAAAATGGTTTGAACCGAGAGAGTATAATCTTCATTAAAGCCGCTTGTTGATGAAAAAATAGAAGAAAAGATCCGTTTGTTTTTACAACAGACTTCATCTTTGCATAGACGGTATTACAAGGCCTGTTAACAGAGGGACAATAATTGATTCTTTATTCAAAGTTTTTGAGGATCTTGATGATTTTTTTTTTTTTTGACGGAAAAAATGGTTAGAAGTTAGGTTAGTACTTTACTCTTGGCAAGGTTTGATCACTGGTCAAGGGTGCAATCCACCGACAGCCTGTTGAGCTGCAGTGGTCACCAATGAGCCACAACAGGAGAATGCGAGGATCTTGATGATTCTTTTTGTAATAAAAAGATGACAGTGAGCCTTTAATTATATAAAGTTGGATTTTTTTAATTTGTACATTAAGTATTAAAAAATATACAATAATTGATTCTTTATTCAAAGTTTTTGAAGATCTTGATGATTCTTTTTGTAATAAAAGGATGACAGTGAGCCTTTAATTATATAAAGTTGGATTTTTTTAATCTGTACATTAAGTATTAAAAAATGTACAATAATTGATTCTTTATTCAAAGTTTTTGAGGATCTTGATGATTCTTTTTCTAATAAAAGGATGACAGTGAGCCTTTAATTATATAAAGTTGGATTTTTTTAATTTGTACATTAAATATTAAAAAATATAAAACTTGTAATTAATTTTTATGTTAAATGAATTTAATTAGACAATTGATAAATAAAAAATTTATTTTTATTTTTTAATACACATTTATAACAAAAAAATAAAAAAATAATTAATATAATTTTAACTTATACTTTAAGGCACATGTTACACAAACCCTACAAAGTTTAGGGATTTTTCTTGGTTTCTCATGTGCATATGGGCTATCAACCCGTTACCATTTGATTTGCTTTTCCAAGTCGACGAACACCTCTCCCCTGCTTTTCCCAGTATTTTCCGGGAAATTAACCGATTGTCTTGTTTTTTTCTAAACATTTTCTAGGAAGGGGTAAAAAGGCGTTTGGGTGTTTCTACGAAGGCTCACAAGGGTCATTAGGAATTCTGGTGATGAAGCCATTCTTCATTATTAAAATTGCTTCTTCGCCATATTTATAAACTCTCTTTTCTTCCATAACTTTGTTTCTTCTCTGCAAGCTTTAAGATCTTAATTTTCCAGGTACATATATACACATACAAGCAGTTAATTTCTACTATTTTCACTCATTCATTTGTTTGATGCACAAAGACAAATTAAGAAATTTTTTTAACAATTTGTTATGGTATATTGTTTCGTAGATCAGATGTCTTTAACTAATTTCTTATAATTTAATTTTCTTATATATTTATTTTTCTCCTCTTGGTTTGATGACAGTTATTTTTGCACCGAAGTTGTACCCTACGCAAGGACTAAGGTAAGGAGCTAGGTTTACCGGCTTTCTTGTTATTTTGATCATACAATTTTTCAAGACCCGATATACATGATACATTTTTTCATATAGAAGATTTTAGAGTTTAATATATGTTCCTTCTAAGAATCTCACCTCGTAAAATAAAATATATGGAGGAAAAAAATGTGTTACCATAAATTAAAGACGTTTAATAATACTTTCATTTCTTATTTTTTGTTTTAATTTCATGCAAAAAATTTAGCAACCATGACAACTAGAACTAGAAATCAACTATATACCAAAACCAAAAATAAAACGGGTAATAACTCATTTAATAAGTCTCTAAAACAAACAACCAAAATTAAAAACGTAATTAGTGCAATAACATTTTTTGTTTCAAAAAATTATAATAGTATAATTTATTTATTTATGAGATTAATGTATATCGATCTTGATTTTTAAAAAAATTAGAATTTTAAATTATATTTGAAAATTAAAATTGTAATTTAAAATTCAAAAATT